TTACCACATTCTCATTATGAACTTTTTGACATTATTTTTCTGGATTCTGCTTTTGTCTTACCTGATTTGTGGAACCGCTTTTCCCCGGACTCGTCGTTGTGGTGGTCCTTTCTGTGTCTACAGTCCTCCGACATACAGAACAAGCTAACTGGACAAACTGGTTGTGGTGGGAAAGCTATCCACACAGAGGTAAGCGGTCACTTGGTAAGCGAAAAAAGGATTGGCATCACAAGGTAAATCTGACCCACTCACCCACTCTCCTTCCCTAAACCCAACCAGTTGTATTGACTGACCCACCCACCCACTTCCCTAAACCCAACCAACAATTTTCAAAAGCAATCCAGAAAAAAAGCCCTCACCTGATCTTTGCTACGTTTTAGGATTTTACCACATTCTCGCCATTATTTACTTGTTTATTTTATTTTTTGGCTTTTGTTTTTGTCTACCTGATTTCTAGAACCGTTCTCAAACCTCGTTGTTTTGGTCAACTCCTCTCTGCTTCTTAAGTTTGCAAATGTACATGGTGAGCTAATGGGACAAACTGGTAACAGCGGGAAAGCCTTCCATTCGAAAATAAGTGGTCAGCTGGTAAGTGCGAAATACAACGCCGTCATACTGCCCAATAACGTTCATTTTAAAAATTAAGTGCAGCCATACGGACTTCTGGCTACATAATTCACGATCTTCAGAAAGGTAGATAGGCTACGTTTTCAGAATACATTTATTTTGTATAATAATAACATTAAAGGTCAACTTTAATGAACATAAATTAATCTGTTTTGACGCCTTTAATGCGTAATATGTAAAAATAAAAATCTAGGCCTTAAAATAGATATAATAAAAAAAGAATAATCTTAAAATAAGCTTTTCAACGAGTTGATTGTCAATTGGGGATGTTTTATTCAGATGAATCTGATAACTGAAGTACCGTACAACTGCAGCCATTCATTCAGCAGTCTCTGCCTTAACACACTATAGCATTTAGAGCTTGCTATATGAAAAGAATAATCCACAACTGTGTCAGTTCAACACTCGCTGAAGAGCATCTTAAAAATATGACCTGATAACCAGATAAATGCGTAATGCGCCACTTGACATTGGAAAGTTAGATGGGCTGGTTTGTGGCAATGATGTCTTGTTCTATCAAAGAGAAAGCGCCACTTGAGATCGCAGGCATTGAGATGATTCCTCTTTGGTCTGTAAATCGCTTTGATCTCGCCTATGCAGTGAATGCAGTTCTCAGAAAATGCCACGGCTTTACAAATATTGACGCCTCAGTGTTTGGGAATCATTTAAATAGGTCTTATTCAATGATTCAATATGCTCAATTTCACCCTAAAAGAAAAAAGACTAAAGGCCTTTGGGGGGAAATGAGAACATTTCATTTAGATGTCTCATTACACCGGTGTTCGTTGTTGGAACTAATGTCTTACTAAATTACAAATTTTCCACTTAATTTAGATGCACTACCCTTCTGATAAATCTCCAATCACCGGTGTCTTTTCATTTACCTCTTCATTTGTTTCAGTGTTTTTCTCTTGCTCTCTTACCTGATTCTTCATTAGTCTTGCGTTCGTTTTCAGAGTCGATGAGGGAGAGAAGAGGGTTGCTATCAATGAGTTTTTAATGTTTTATCATGCTTAACAAGGCTGCATTTCTTTGATTAAGAATAGTCAAACAATAGTGTGTGCATATGTGAGAGTATACATTTGCAAATATACAAATATAAAAATATGAAAATCACTCTTATATCAAGTCACATGCTCAGGTGTGATTTTTTTTTCAGACTTCAACAGTGTAAAAATCTTGATGGTTCTGTGGGTCTCATCTATCCAAGCTGATCTTTATTTTGTATTTTCTATTGGATTCAAGTAAGATGATTGGCAGGGCAATTCTCCAGCTTGATTTTCTTTTTGATTTTTGAAAGTATTTGAGAGTTTCCTTGGCTGTTTTTTGGATTATTGTCTTGCTGAAATTACCGCCTTTCTACACCTCCCTTTCTTCATGTGTTCAATACTTTTTATGTGTCCTTTTATTTTATTACACATAACTTAATTTGTGAACTAATTAGTGTTGTTTTCTTTTCATATATGTATTTCTTTGGCTGTTATTAACATTTGGTGAAAATGTCAAGTCAACAGCACCTTTAGAAATATGCTCTCAGAGAAAAATGATGATGTGTTGAATACTTGTTTCCCCCGCTGTATGTAGATGGATGAATGGATGGATGAATGGATGGATGGATGGATGGGTAGAGAGATAGATAGATAGATAGATAGATAGATAGATAGATAGATAGATAGATAGATAGACAGACAGACAGACAGACAGACAGACAGACAGACAGACAGACAGACAGACAGACAGACAGACAGACAGACAGACAGACAGACAGACAGACAGACAGACAGACAGACAGACAGACAGACAGACAGACAGATAGATAGATAGATAGATAGATAGATAGATAGATAGATAGATAGATAGATAGATAGATAGATAGATAGATAGATAGATAGATAGCAAAGGTACTGTATAATATAGATATTAAAACTAGGAACATACAGTTGGCAGTTAATGTGACCTTCTTCCACCATCATATAGCATCAGAGACCATATAGTAATCTGTCCTACAGTCTTTAAAGGAGAAACTCAAATTACTGCTAAACAAAGCATTACACACTTGAAGGTAAATCACACTTGAAGCATTTTAATGTTAAAGTCTCTCTCTTACTTTTTTGTCGTTCAGCCTTATCTTGACCAAAATCCTCTGTTTGTTAAAGCACTTAATGCAAGGAAATAATTTAAATGCTGCTTCTAAAGTGACATTTTGGAATTAGAAACTGCTTCAGAACAATTGAATGCTTACATATACGATATCCTCCAGTTACTGTACACTCTCAGAAATAAAGGTACACGATCTGTCACTGGGGTGGTATCTTTTTGAAAGGTACAAATTTCTACCTAAAAGATCCATATTAATACCTCAAGGGTACATATTAGTACCTAAAAAGTACAAAAGTGTTACTCTTAAAGTTTGTAGGTACATATATATATTCTTTTGGGATACCAACATGGACCCTTCAAGTAGAAATGTGTACCTTTTGAAAAGATACTACCACAGTGACAGCTCTCGTACCTTTACTTCTGAACTCAGTTTCTCCCTGCAAAATCTCACAAAACCATTGCACATTGTCGGTCAGGGGTGGTGCCAGGGGGGGAAATTTAGGAAAATTCTAAGGGCCCATGCCATTTTGGGCGCCCCGAGATACTATTATACACCCACCAGACCCCAACCCCAAACCCAAGACCCCCCTTGTCCGCGACAACCTCAACCCCACTAACCCACTTCTGATTCACCCACCAATCTTCACTTACTTCCACTTTCATCCTTGAAATATGTTGTTAGACTTAGAATTGTTAGATTTTGCCGCAATTTTACAGAATTTAACTGAAAAAACATCAAAATACCATATACATTCTTTACAGCTCACTACTGTGATATTTTATACTATAGCATTGTGGGTCATTTGAAAACATTTACAGTAACTTACTGCATATTAGGAATGTACGGTATTCTACTGTAATCAGAGTAATTAAGTACTGCTACTGTAATTGTAGCAAAAATGAAACAGTAAATGAAAAAACTTACTTGTCTGGAATTTAATAAATTCCATAATGAATACTTAAAATAAATGTACTGTAAAAATTTCAAACTGAAAAAATGTAATGTGAAAAGGGGCATTATACGAAAATGGAAGTTGCGGTAAGGCTCTGCTACTGTAAAACACATTTACAAGTAAGTTACTGTAAAGAGGCAGCTGCGGTAAGTTTCTAGAAACAATGCTGCCAGTAAGTTACCACAAAATACTATGTCAAACAGTGTAGTCTCTCTAAAATACAGATTTTCCAGTTTAAATGCACTACCCTTCTGATAACTCTTCAATCACCATTTGTTTCAACGTTCTCTTTCTCTTACCCGATTCTTCATCAGTTTTGTGTTCGTTTTTCGAGTCGGTACCTTTATTTCTGAGAGTGTATGACACGATGAAAATAATAATGCTTCAGTGTTTGAGAATCATTTAAAAAGTCCTCCTGGAATGATTCATCGAGCTCATTTTCCCCCTGCAAAATCTCACTAAACCATTGCACACTGAAGGTCAGGGGCACCGCCAGGGGGGGAAATAGGACAATTCTAAGGCCCCATGCCATTTTGGGACCCCCAGAGATACTATTATGGGCCCAGCAGATCCCAACCCCAATCCCAAGACCCCCCTCCCTCCGGCACAAGACCCCCCTTGTCCACAACAACCTCAACCCAACTAACCCACTCCCGCTTCACCCACCAATCTTCACTTACTTCAACTTTCATCCTCGAAATATTTTGCTAGACCTTGTTGCAATTTACAAGATTTTACTGCAAAAACACCAAGCACAATACCACATGCATTCTTTACAGCTCACTACTGTAACATGCACTGCATTGTGGGTCATTAGAAAACATTTACAGTAACTTACTGCATAATAGGAATTTACGGTATTCTACTGTAATCAGAGTACTGTAGGGAAAATGAAACAGTAAATGAAAAAACAGTCACTTGTTTGGAATTTATTTAATTTAATACTGAATACTAAAAATAAATGTTTTTTTTTTACTGCCAGTAAAAATGTAAATAAATTACAGTAGAAGGACTGTAAAAGTTTTATACTGAAAAAAATCTAATGTGAAAAGGGGCATTGTATCATAAAAAGAAGTTGCGGTAAGGCTCTGCTACTGTAAAACACATTTACAGGTAAGTTACTGTAAAGAGGCATCTGCGGTAACTTTCTAGCAACAGGGCTGCCAGTAAGTTACCGCAAAAATACAATTTCAAACAGTGTAGTCTCGCTAAAATACAGATTTTTTTACAGTTTTAATGCACTACCCTTCTGATAAATCTTCAATCACCTCTGTGTCGCCGTTTGTTTCAACATTCTTTCTCTCTCTTTCTCTCTCTTACCTGATTCTTCATCAGTCTTGTGTTCGTTTTCGGAGTCAGTGAGAGTGAGGACTGAGTGGTCCGGGCTGGACAGGCAGGAGCTGCGGCGGGACTTAAGTGGTTGTCTGCTCCACAGCTGCACGGCCCGCTCTGGGGTCATCACACCCTCGGGGTCTGAATCAGCGTCAGATACGGCATTCAGAGAGTATCTGTCCTGCAGCAGGCTTATATCTGAACAGTAAACACTGGATGGCGGAGGAGGCTCACACATGCCCAGATCAGCCAAGGCAAAGCTCCCTGAAATGAGAATAGAAGTATTAATGCATGAAAACAAGTGTCTGAAGCCACAATGCAATCCAGACTACTAAAAGAGCTCGATCTGTCTGACTCACTGAGAACTGGTATTGCAATATTACATAATGACAACACAATCGTCATTCTAGCAATCTTCATTTTATGTGTAAGTTAATTGAAGCTCTGTATTGTGCCAGTCATTTTCATTCAGTGAGGCAGTGAAAGGAATGAGTTGAAAGTGTGGTAAGGATGAATAAAGACTACAGGCAGAATTTAAAGCTAGAAGAACAATGAAACATTGCAAACCCTTTTTATTCTGAAGTAAATTGATTGCGGGAAAAAGCTTTCTACATATTGTAGAAACTACAGTGGATCAAAATGGAGATTTTCTGTATTGTTTTTTTACGTTTTATTAATAAAACTACAATAATAGTTTCAATACTACTACTACTAATACTAATACTACTACTATTACTAATAATAATAATTATAATTATTATTATTACTATTATTATTATTATTCATTATTATTATTATTATTATTATTATTATTATTATTATTATTATTATTATTATTATTATTATTATCATCAATGTTATTATTATTGTTGTTGTTGTTGTTGATGTTATTATTATTATTATTATTATTATATTTTGCCACAAAACATTACATTTTACAGCATTTATATGCACTGCAAAATCCAGTAAATATTACGAAGCAATGGTGCTGACAAAATATATAATTTTATTATAATAAATAAATATATATAAATATAAGTAATACATAAATATTTAAGATAAAAAAAGGTTTTAAAGAGCATGGCAAACATTTATATTCAGTCATATATATCCTTCTACTTGTATTTAATTTCCATAATATTCCACAAAGGCAATAAACACATTGTCAAAAACTCTTGATTTAAGACATATTTTCTCCTTGTTTTCCCCACATACAATGTGGGCATACAATAATTTTTTTTTATAAATATAAAAAAACTGCAGATTTAAAGTAAATAAATAATTAGCAATAATAAAAATAAACAAATAAATTTTTTATACATTTTATACGTAATTATGCACAATAGTTAGATAATAAAAAGTAGTTTGAAAAAATGTTTGAAAAAAATGCACATAATAACATTATAATATTACATACAATATTGCTTAAGTATATATAGAGTATTTGTGTGTATAAAGAAACATATGAGAGTCAGATATTTTACAGCTTTCTAAAACGCTTACTTTATAGTGATGTTGTGAAACGATCGATATTTAATGACTTCATAAGCAGCTAAATCATTATGCTGATGTGCTTTGGATCCAGCTGCTCACCAGGCTTAGGAAAACTTTTGCAAGAGCAACCAATTGAACATTTGCATTTTGCACAAATACAGGAGGAAAGCACAGATGTGCACAACATAATAATTAAAGGGAAGTTCACTAAGTTGCACTGTTCATTTTTTCACTATCAGGCCATCAAAAAGGTAACGTTTTTCTTCAGTAAAACATTAAAAGAAAATTGTTAGCTGAAACCATAATCCAATGTGATTCATAAAACAGAAGTCAATGTTTATCAGCAATTAAGAGTAAAAAAATACAGGCAAAATGAAATGAATATATGTGGATCAACTCAATTTGCTGAGGCTGTGGATTAAAGGTAATAAAGTTGTAAATAATATCTAGCTTCTTACAAAGATCAATATATATGTATATATATATTTTTTAAATTTTTTTTAATATATTTTTTTACTTTATAAGACCTGGTTTGAGTCCCGGCTGGTTCAGTTGGCAATTTTGTGTGGAGTTTGCATGTTCTTCCCATGTTTGCATGGATGTGAGTGTGTATGGGTTTTTATATGGAACAAAATCAATGCCTAAAGTCTTGAATTAAAAAGCTTGTTGAATATCACAAACTGAAAAAAATAATACACCGTATTAACAAGTTCTTGCATTTTAATGACTTGAATTCCAGGGTTTGTATTTTTAGGTCCTGAATTTTAACATATCTGTTTATTTAAGCTGTGAATATTTCAACGAAAAATATTTCAAACACGTTTTCATACTTAAAAATTCAATAATTCATATTCAATTTTCAGATTTCACTTAAAAAATATTCAATACCCTTTAAAAATACGATGTATAATATTCAAAAGGTCATTTTCAGTTCATTTTATTTCAGTTCTAATATTCGCTTCCATAAATTCAGTGGATCAAATTCGACTGATAAAATTCAACATTACATCCGGGAACTGCAGGAGAAGCAATAGATTGCAGATTGAAGATCGCCAGCTGCTCTAGCTTTCACCAGCAGGTGGAGATGGAATAATGTAAGATTTTTAACCCAGTAAACAGGCGAGAAAAAGGCTAATAGAGGCAAAAAAGTAGCATTTAATTTTAATATCAATGCCTTGGACATTATAAATAATAAAAAGTATGAGTAAAATGAGTAAATGAGGTTTTAGTCATCTATATTTGCCCTTATGTAACGGAAGCCAGCTGGTGATCGCGTAAAGCTCACTCCTCGGATCCAGGGACAGACGTTCTGCAATCTTATCGGAGCTTGTCTCCCATGCTGGCTCGTTACCTGCTCGGACCGGTGCGGTTACTTGCACATAAACCGTCTTTTGATGAATATGATGTTAAACATTGTCTATCTTTATTGACTCTTTCTTCCATAGACGCAAAGTATTATATTGACAGCTAAAGAATATAAACGTAAGAGAAACAGGAGAGGAAATATTATAATAATACAAAATAGATAAACATTGACAGGGCTAAGAACAATTACGAGCAAAGATATTCAAAAGCAGAGAGATTTTAAGAGAATGTCACACAAAACAGTTTACTTGGAACTGTTAAACAGTGTTCAGGTATGATTTAAGGTTGGTTATGGATGGGGCGTCTAATTTAAAATAATTTAATATAATGTGCGAATGCATTAAAGGAGCGTCTTCAGTTATTATTTAAACGCAGCTATGTCAGGATTGGGATAGGTTATATAATTTCATTATTTAAATTATGATTGTTATTATTATTATTTTATGACATGTATTTGGGCTATTGCGCTTAAATAAGTCATCCGTGATTCTAAATTAATATTTCTATTTATCCTTTTTAGCTATCACTTTGCTATCGTCTTCCTCTTCTTTTTTTCGAATTTTTGGGGTTCTGCCACGGTTAAACGTTTGCAAAATGTCTTTAGTTTGTCCAGATTATCTTTTCCTCTAAAATAGAGACAAAGCAGAAGGAAAATGAATGAATTGATGAATGAATGAAATGATTGACGTTTTTATGCATGTGCGGTGCGGCTTGCTCACGACAAAGTCGAACGAGTGGCCGCGAGCTCCGGTGGCCGGTCAGAGCGCCGCATATCAAACTGGTTAAGAGATGCTGGATGGCTGCCAATATATGATAGGAATTCTTCCAAAGTTTCAGATGATATCTGGGCTTGTAATAATGTAAAATGAAAGTGAAAGTCATGACATTTGGCCAAGCACAAGAATAGCCTACAAGAGTGTTTCGATTATTATATTTATCATGGCATATGTCATGCTTGGGATTATATGAATAACACCTCGCTGTTTACCGTTTCCGAAAGTGGAGCTGATGTCTGCGTGAAATTGCTTGTATAATTGTAAAAAGAGTGATGAATATTAATGGATTTCTTATATCTGTCATTTCTGATAATATAATTGATTTAGTGTGAGCTTATGAGTTTCCAACACAGCAAAAATGCATCCAGAATCCTAAACAACTTTGTCAAGCAAAAATTATGATTTTATAGGCTACTGATTTTTTTTTTTTTAAGAAAAAAGAAACTATTAGCTACCCTAGCAATTGTTTATTTAAATATGATCATCTCAAAATATAAAATAAAAACATAATGGTTTGACTTTGTGAAATCATAAAACACACTTGCAGAAAAGAGTTAATAAAATAAATGAGCAAAAACATTCTCTACAGTGGATGGCGATTAAAGCTCAGTAATACCCCATGAGGATGAACATTGAGCTGCTTTGCAGGAACCCCTCAACCACGCATGTCAAACCACGCATTCTAAACATTAATCTTATGAAACTAGCTGAAGTGACAACTATATTAAATTTAAACCAGTTTAAATAAGTTTATATGTTTAATAACTGCAAAAAAGATAAACTTTGCTAATCATAAAATACAAACGGTCGCTGCAAAGTTATAAATAACGGTTTTCTCATTTAATAAAAACTAATTAAAGTCAGTTATAACTACCTATTATCAAACCATAGGCGACTCATTTTATTACTTATCATTGGCTGCGACATTGCCCCTTTTGCGTTAATACATTTTTCTCGCCTATAGGCTACATAACAATAAAACAATAATCTGGACAAACTAAGACATTTTGCAAACGTTTAACCATGGCAGAACCCCAAAAATTAGAAAAAAGAAGAGAAAGACAGGCAGAGTGATAAAAAGGATAAATAGAAATATTAATTTAGAATTACAGATGACTTATTTAAGCGCAATAGCCCAAATAAATGTCATACAATAATAATATTAACAATCATAATAATAATTTAAATGATGAAAATGTATAACCTATCCCAATCCTGACATAGCTGCGTTTAAACAGCGCAAACATTACTCCTTATAGTTATGCCATATTAGATGGTTCTGTGTGAATAACTGAAGACGCCCCTTTAATGCATTCGCATGTTAAATTATTTTAAATTAGACGCCCCATCCATAACCAACCTTAAATCATACCTGAACACTGTTTAACAGTTCCAAGTAAACTGTTTTGTGACATCCTGATAAAATCTCTCTGGTTTTGAAAATCTTTGTTCGTAATTGTTCTTAGCCCTGTCAATGTTTATCTATTTTGTATTATTATTATAATATTTTCTCTCCTGTTTCTCTTACGTTTATATTCTTTAGCTGTCAATATAATACTTCGCGTCTATGGAAGAAAGAGTCAATAAAGATAGACAATGTTTAACATCATATTCATCAAAAGACGGTTTATGTGCAAGTAACCGCACCGGTCCGAGCAGGTAACGAGCCAGCATGGGAGACAAGCTCCGATAAGATTGCAGAACGTCTGTCCCTGGATCCGAGGAGTGAGCTTTACGCGATCACCAGCTGGCTTCCGTTACATAAGGGCAAATATAGATGACTAAAACCTCATTTACTCATTTTACTCATACTTTTTATTATTTATAATGTCCAAGGCATTGATATTAAAATTAAATGCTACTTTTTTGCCTCTATTAGCCTTTTTCTCGCCTGTTTACTGGGTTAAAAATCTTACATTATTCCATCTCCACCTGCTGGTGAAAGCTAGAGCAGCTGGCGATCTTCAATCTGCAATCTATTGCTTCTCCTGCAGTTCCCGGATGTAATGTTGAATTTTATCAGTCGAATTTGATCCACTGAATTTATGGAAGCGAATATTAGAACTGAAATAAAATGAACTGAAAATGACCTTTTGAATATTATACATCGTATTTTTAAAGGGTATTGAATATTTTTTAAGTGAAATCTGAAAATTGAATATGAATTATTGAATTTTTAAGTATGAAAACGTGGTTGAAATATTTTTCGTTGAAATATTCACAGCTTAAATAAACAGATATGTTAAAATTCAGGACCTAAAAATACAAACCCTGGAATTCAAGTCATTAAAATGCAAGAACTTGTTAATACGGTGTATTATTTTTTTCAGTTTGTGATATTCAACAAGCTTTTTAATTCAAGACTTTAGGCATTGATTTTGTTCCATATTTTTACCAGTACTAGGTTGTGGCTGAAAGAACATCCATTGTGTAAAACATATGCTGGAATAGTTGGTACTTCCTTCCACTATGGCAATGCCTGATAAATAAGGGACTAAGCAAAAGAAAAATGTATGAATAAAAACCGTAATGTATCACCAGGAGCCTCGGGTATTAATTTAGTTTTGCACGTTTGTGCTTTTTTACTTTCAAAGTAAAAATGACTTGACTTTTATGAATCATCAAGCAATAGTTTCAGCTAAAAAAAAAAACTTTAATGCTCTACTGAAGAAAAAAAGTCATCTTAAATGCCCTGAGATTGAGCACTTTTTATTTTAGGTGAACTCTTCCTTTAAAAAGGGCTGAGAAAACACAATAGAGTCACACAGGGATTTAATAGGAGGTTTTGAGGGTGGATTCTGGTCCTGCACCAAACACATACCTACAGTATGCAGTGCGTACCTGACAGGTAATAACCAACTGCAACCGGGGCCAGCTCCACGTAAGCTGTGAGTGAGAACAACACGTCCCGCCATCATTTAATAATAAAAACTCGCAACACAATGCAAAAGTTGCACCGCACACAACAAACCTGCTCCAAATAACAGAAACTCTTGGCTGTTTTCATGTGTGGAAAAGTCATGGGGAGCACTCGGCTTCCCTGCTGTTGTCTGTCTACTCCAAAGGGAAAAAATCTTCCAAGGTGTAAATTTGAGATAGTGTCTAACTTAACAGCCAGAAGGCATTCTAAAGAAAAAGAAAATCTCCCAGAAGAGCCCACTTCATAGAAAAAAAGAGCCCAAAATTCTGCTTCCTCTAGCGTGTTATATGTTTAGATACTATTTCCCCACTTTCCTCAGACACCCTGGATGGGCAGGACACAGCAGGTGAATAAGGTAATAAAAAAATGAACTAAAAGTTTTTACCATACATTCCTGGTTGACTGATTGCATGAAGAATTGCGAACTTTTTTGTAGTATAAGTTGTTGAAATTGTTACATTTAAATATGCAGTTTTAAAGGGAACAGTATTTCATTGAATAGAGTTACTTTTTAACAAAAGTTCAGGAAAGTTCACCACGCCTCACATCATACCTGTCAACACTGCTGTTTTTCCCCAAGAGTCTCCCATAGTTCAGACCCATCTCCCGCTACTCTCCCATTTTTGTTATTTCTCCCGGAAACACCTGTAATTTCACCCCATCCTTGTTCCTCAGCTTTTTGGTTCAGTCTGTAACACCCCCAGGTCACCAACTTTGGTATAGTATCCGATCGGAGCGGCCTCCCAAAACCTGGTCCATAGTACAGTTACTAACACCACAGTACACCCGGAGGAAATCCACGCGAAGGCAGGGAGAACATGCAAACTCCACAGAAACACCAACTAAGCCGAGGTTCGAACCAGCAACCCAGCGACCTTCTTGCTGTGAGGAGACAGCACTACCTACTGCACCACTGCCTCGCCCCTCTTTTAATCCATACATCTCTAAAATATAGTCTAGCCAAGCGTGTGGCATGGTCCATGCTGGTGAAATATTTACTATAGATGAGCATCATAGGTATGAAAATTCTTTTCACTTTTTGGACATACTAGTCAAACGTTTTGATAGAAGGAATTTTGGGAATCTCCTTGTATTGCCACATAATTACTGAAAACTTTTTTTGTAGAATGAATGTTGCATATTATCAAGCAAGTTATTTGTGAGCATATCCCTTGATACAGTACAGTACACACATTCAAAATGCAGGTACAATGGTAAAATTCCTCTCTGTGTCTCAAGCAGTGTACATTTTTACAGCAAACTTTGATTTAGTCTTAGTCTTAATCTTTTGACTAAATTTCCATTTTAGTTTAGTCATATTTTAGTCTTTTAAATCATTTTAGTTTTAGTGTAGTTTTAGTCAACAACATTTTATAAGATTTTAGTTGACTAAAGCCCCGGTCAGAACAAACAATTTTTATTGTCGGTTATGAAAGTCACTATGTCAGACCATGCATTTTTTTTCTTGATAAAATCTTGACTTGTCGTGGGTAACAAATGTGCCAGACTACACGTTTCTTCACGATCAGTCATGATGTCTACGACAAGTGTTATTTCCCAAAGCAGTCACATTACTATAATAATAAATATATTTTTTATCTCATTTTCAATTTATTTGTTTTTTAAATCTTATTTTAATCTCAATAAACACTGATGCTTGCAGACAACTGATAGCTAGGCTACATTATTTAAAGGCGCTCATTAGGATAGGATCAAACTTATAAGTCCTTTTTAAGACAGAGACAGACAGACAGACAGACAGAGAGACAGAGAGACAGACAGACAGACAGACAGACAGACAGACAGACAGACAGACAGACAGACAGATAGATAGATATATAGATAGATAGATAGATAGATAGATAGATAGATAGATAGATAGATAGATAGATAGATAGATAGATAGATAGATAGATAGATAGATAGATAGATAGATAGATAGATAGATAGATAGATAGATAGATAGATAGATAGATAGATAGATAGATAGATAGATATGCGCTTATAGCTTATTCCGCGCTCAAGCGCGTGCAAAAATCTCGCACCGGCTAAAGTTATTATTATGAGTGCGTCGGGGGAAAATAAAACATTTTAATAATTTGTTCAGTCAGTGGCTGAAAATATTAAGATTGCCGACGCTGCATGCATTTCTTTCCGTAAAGTAGCCTGTTCATTGCTGACTTGCTATTTCATGGAGGCTGCATGAAAGAAAGGCATCTTGTTTATTTTCTTTACTTTACAAATATGCAACTTTGATGTTATTGAGTGTACATATATTTCTATGGTCATATAGACCAGATTCTATTATTGTATAAGTGGAGGCATTATTTTACTGTGGTAAAGTAGAGCATTTCTTATCAAGTTAATGCTTTATAGTTTAGTAATTAAATTTTATAGTTATAAAATAAATTTAAAGAATATTTTAACACTTTTAATTATTCAGGATTATTTATTGCACCAAGGGTAATTTCAAAGGAACATTAATTTTTTGTAAACTTTTAAACTGCCTAATTTGTGTGTAAACGCCTGATGCAAAAAGCTTATTTAGGTCTGCAAAATAGATCATGTAATTTGAAATATTTATCTTTTTTCTGCAAGTTTTCTGCAAACATATAATCTAAAATTACTTAAAAACTTAAAACTGGCAGTGTGTCTCACAAATAAAGTGTTTATTAAGTGAAAAATCAGGTGTATATAGCGGCATTCATGGTGCATTCAAAGCTTCAGAAAATGGCTCATAAAAAAAGGACAAGGACGTACGTAAATGGTTTTTACAAGTTGCAATCAAAAATGACGATAATATGGTGCATTGGAGGGTATAAGCAGGCAATCCGTAAGAACAGGTTGATCAGGTACGTTATACCACTTATTTATCACACAGCTTATACCCACTTCTAAATCCCCTCTGATACGCATCATTTAGTAGCGTCCTGCAGTAACCAAAATCATGACAGTCCACCACATCCAGTCATATGTGAATAAATGTCACAGTGATGAAACAGTGAATACCATGTCACCGGCTTGCAATGAATATATTCCATGATTGCGCCTGTGCCCGGTCCGTCTCCCACACCCCAGTAATTTGAATCAGTATATAATAACAAAAACAATACCTTACAAATAAAAAGAAGCAGGTTTTACGATCAGACATTTCTCAAACCAGTGAACCCGCTTTAAACTTCTCAGTCCAAGAATCCAGTAAACGAATGCATTCAAATAAGTTCAAAACATCTCAAATACAGAGAAATTTTTTAGATTTTATGTGCTATCAGAAAATAAGTAGGCTATCATCTGAATGATCAATGGGCACGTATGATTTACAGTCCAGTCTGTTCTGTAACGTTAGTACACAGAGTCAGCGTTTTATTTTTTTGGGGGTTTTTTGCACATTATTTTGACAATACATGAGGCTCAGCCAGTTTTTCTTATGCACACACAGCCTCTTTTCAGGCTACGCTACATGCTTTTTAATATTAAGATATTTGCTTTGAACTCTAAATTTTCTTGCCATGGGTTTCTTAATAAACAATCCCTCGCCTGAACTTGTCGCGAAAGAGACGGATTAATGTAAGCACATAAGCAGCACGGAAAAATCATATGCTCAGACATAATCTTTAAAATAATGACATATTAAAAATTTGCAAATATATAACTGAGATTTGTGATACAATTACAGTGAAGCATTCATTAAATCCTTATTTTCCTCAGAGCGAAATAAATCATTTACCCGTATAGTTGAGTAGTGAGATACAATCAAAAATATAATTTATATATTTTTCTTTCAAAAAAAAATATTTTTGAAACAAATTTTGTTTGCTATAATTTTTTACTTCATTTTCATGCATCTTTTGTTAATCAGTTATCAATAAAAAAGAATAATGAATAACATTTCAGGTGATGCGCTTTAAAACAAGTCTGCTATATAACACTTTCCGATTTAAACAAATTCATATTTTAGAAAAGGTAGTTAAAGCTTGTAGAACCAATGATTGATTATAGAGATTATAGAGATGTTCACAGTGAATTAGATGGTGTAAAGATGTTTTGAAATTATACTTGCATACTAATTCCGATCGAATATTGAAAGTAACATGGTAAACAATTTAGGGACTTCTAAATAAACGAATGTGTGAATATAAAACCAACTTTAATAATATTTTCCATAAAATGTTTTATTAGTCAACAAAAATGTCACTATATTTGTATTATAGTTGTCATCATCATCATTTAGTTTTATTTAGTTTTTGTATAGTTTTTGTCAATAGAAGCCTGTTTGGTTTATGACGAAAATTTTTCATGAACACTGGTCTCAAGTCCATGTACGTACGTTGCGAGCTACTAAACAAACTGGTAACACCAGGAAAGCCGTCCATACAGAGGTAAGTGGTCAGCTGGTAAGGGCGAAAAGGAACACGTATCGTTCGTTTTAAAGATGAAATGCAGCCATACGTACTTCAAAATGAGTTTTCAGAATGAGCCTATATGTGTTAGACAAATTGACAAAGTGCAACAAAATAAATGCTTACGTGTATTTTTGGGTGCTTTCTTTATATTAAACCGGAATATCAATTTATGAAAAGCTAAGAAGGGCAAAATCTGAAAACTGGCAGGTGCATGAAAAAACCCTGCTTTTGCCTGCAGTGTCTCGCCTTAAAGTGAATATCCCTTTTCAGCAGGTGCTAAAATCAGAAAGAGTGGCAAGGTCATTTGTTGAGGGAGGGGTTACCATGGCAACATTGCATTTCTAGCATGCCGTCAGGTACAGTGAAGCGTTTCAGCGAAATGCATGAAAATCTCCCTTCTCCTCAATCATCTGTTTTCAGGCCTCCGACTTGCCCTGATTGACAAAGAGCCCTGCTGCGATGCAGATGCAAATGTTAACACAGCCCGCTAAAACTGTGAGGTCCCATCAAAACATTCCAGGATTCAGAAAAACAAGACATGCTGTTTCAAATCCCCGGTGATT